TTTTTGTTTTGTTTTTTTTTTTTGGGAAAGGAAATATATCAAATACTCTGTGAAAGCACCGAGTTTTTAATACAAACTTATCAACAGATTAACCAGTCCAGTGGTATTCACATGAAGCATATGGATAGTAGCAGTAGCAGTAGCAGTAGCAGTAGTAGTAGTAGTAGTAGTAGTAGTAGTAGTAGTAGTAGTAGTAGTAGTAGTAGTAGTAGTAGTAGTAGTAGTAACAGGTAGTAGCAGCAGCAGAAATAGAAGTGGCATAGTGGTAATAGGCCTAGTAGTAATAAAGTCAATACGGCAATCAATAAATTTAATAGTAGTATAGTAGTAGTAGTAATAACAGCACTAAATGTAGCAGCAGCAGCAGTAGTACTAGTAGTAGTAGTAGTAGTAGTAGTAGTAGTAGTAGTAGTAGTAGCAGTGGTAGTGGTAGTAGTAGTAGTAGTAGTAGTAGTAGTAGTAGTAGTAGTAGTAGTCGTAGTAATAGGTAGCAGCAGCAGCGGAAGTAGTAGTGGCATAGTGGTAATAGGCCTAGTAGTAATAAAGTCAATACGGCGATCAATAAAAACACTTATTTATCACTTACTTGTGATTTCCATAACATCGCTATGCATATACCTTTACATGTGTCCACTTATAATCACTGCGTAGCTGCTGTCCCCGAAGCAATTGGAAAGGCGCCCGATTCAACCTACCAATCACCGTCGCCAAAAGCCGTTGGCGATACCGATTTTATACTACATACTGTTAATTTATTGTCCAACACAAAATATCAAATACATTCGAAAACTGACAACCGTTTAATATCACAACACGGAATATTAAAATGTAAGATTAAGAAAGCCAGTGTTTATTAATGGATATAGCTCTCTTTGGAACGTTCATCGGTCTTGGTAGATCAGAAATGTTCCAGAAACATTATCCTAACGGTTTGTTAAGTTAATTACACTTCACCGTATAAGCTCTTTCTATGAAAAGTCGTACATGTCATTAATAGCGGTTGTCACGACTATTTAGATGCACGTTTTTTTAGCCTTTACCAACGTCACAAGCCACTATTATACAGTAGTATAATATTTTGTATAATGTATTTATGTTTCGTTTAAAATTTACTTTACTGTCCGTATGCTAACTATATGTAATATGTTTATCACTTAATATATATATATATATATATATATATATATATATATATTTTAGATCATCAAAAAGGGAAAATGGTGCGAACATCGGCATTGGTTGCTTTCATATTTACTCTTGCCGTATTGGAGCTATGCGTAGGAGAAACAGATCCATTTCTTAACGAAGAAAATGAAGGCAGTGATGAGAGTCTTAAACGTAGAGGTGCAATTTTGAACGGGCAGCCTGTTAACCGGGCTGTTTACCTAGCCCCGATGACTACAGAAGATGAGGCGGGGGCAGAAGTGGAAAAGAGAGAAGAGGGCAAGGACAAGAAAATGCATATCCCTGATTTGGAATCCAAGAGAGATTGCGAGTCGTCATGTCCTGCAGCGGCACGTAAACTACAGTAATGTATAACTTCTGTTTAATGCCAGAGACAAGAAACCACTTCATAATCTACGTGACTGCCCATCATGTCCCGCAGGGCCCGTAAACTCGGATAATAATAATAATAATACTAATTAAAAATTATGTCATTGATAACAAAGATATGTACAAACTTCTTTCTGTTATATGCATTTTAGCGTCAATCGTATTTGAGAGTTTCATGTATCGTGGACTTAGATTGCATTTGTGAGCTGCATTAAAAAAATATTACGAAAGATTTGTCATTTTAGTATTGTTTTATATGATGTCAAAAACATTTTGGTACACAGATATTACGTTTTGTTTAACGAATGTTTGCCATTAATGATCTGGACCGATCCAAGACGCAGCTATAGAAAGGAGCGTACCGGTCCTCCAGACTGTCTCTCTTGTCGTATTTTGTAACTAACCTTGTCGCAGAGAGTTATTTCAAAATACGAAAATTCTGTTATTACAAAATACGACAAAGTTTGTTACAAAATACGACAGTTATTACAAAATACAACAGATTTTATTACAAAATACGACAGTATTACAAAATACGACAATTATAACAAAATACAACCACCCCAAATCATTGAAATTTATTTAAAAAAATAACTCCGCACCCATCTGTTGCGTCTTACTACTGATTTATATTTATTCAATATTCGTTCTTATAAATTCAAGTATAAAATTCATCTGTTAATGGAATATAAAACGCGGTTTGTAATTTGCGGTGATGGCTGCATATAATTTAATTTGAAGTACATTTTGTAGGCTACTACAACGTGATTCTGTGATTTTATGAAACAGTAGATGGAGACAACTTCCTACGTATGCATACGTACGGGTTACGCTCAAGGCATTTCGATTTAGTTCTCTTTACATAATATCTATTAAATTTTTGTTATACTAAATTATGTCATTTGGTATAAACTTTTGTCTGAAATTAAAGATTTACATATCGATTGAAAAAAAAAACCACACACACAATCGTCTGCTGATGCACAACCAGCGTACACCTCGAAATACACAAATATACAAAATACTGATCTATAATAATTTTAGATCGCATTGATACTCAAACCGCAGGGGCGGATCCAGAATTTGAAAAAGGGGGGCTAATTTTCCCATAAACCCAAAAATGAAAGGAGGTAGGTTCTCCCCCGGGAAAATTTTATATACATATGATGGCCGGAAATGAGCTTTCCCGACTCCTGAGGTGTCTTTTAATGACCTTTATTTTTTTTTCCAAAATTCAATGTTTTTACTACCTTTAAAAAAAGGTCATGAGATTTTATCTCATTCTTATGTCTATACCATAGAAAATAAATCAAAGATATAGTAAATATATAGGCCTATATCATAATTACCAAGTCTCACGCATACGGGCGCGTGAACCTTGCGCTTTTCGAACAAATCTGAAGCTCTCAAACCACTCCTTTAAAATCTACTAATCCACAATCTCAAGCTTTATTTGATTAAACCCAAACATTTGATCAAAATATTAGAAACCTTCGCAATTCTATATTTTATGAGGCCCAAATCATCGAAAATTCTCTCATTCCTATTATAGCTCCACATTTTTAAAGGTTTAATTTCAGCACTAGAGAGTAAAGAATTCAAATATAAAATTATATTGTTCACATAGCATTTTTAATTGTAATAAATGAGAGCAACTGCACTTTATGTATCTTCATGCTAAATTTTAAGCCTTGCGCTATTCACCTTTTGTGATAATCAGTGGCCGATTCAAGGGGTTGTGGTGGGAGGGGGAGGGAGACTAGCTAACCCGTGCCCCTAAATTTGTTCAAAATTATAAAAATAATTGAGAAAAAAAAATATATACTCAAACTGCTTTTTCCATTCATTTAGAGGTGCCATAATCATTCATTCTTACCAACCTCAACCATAGTGGGGCTGAGGAATCAGTGGTGGCACCAGTGGGGGCAGGGGATCCCCACCCCACCATCGGACAGGCTTGACGTCGTTGGATACCACTAATAAGAAAAATAATCATAATTTGCCTATCAAAATATGATTACTTTGATATCTAGTCGCCCCTTGGTTTGGACCCCTCCGTCGGACATGTCGGACCACTTGTCGGCATATTTTTGGCGCCTCCGCTGGTGAGATGTCTAAACCCTCCATCTGCTCCCCTGGCCCCTCAATTTGATGAGAAATCTAATGTTTAAAAAACAAGGTTTGTGATATAGTATTGGTCAAAGCAATTTTTGTTTTTCTGTATATTTTGTGTATAGGCCTACGCTAAATCCGAAAATGCTAAGGTCCATTTTCCCGGAATTGTCTTTGGCAGCATGGCTGCCATTTTCACGATAAAAGTAACCATAACTGTGCTATAGAGCAGGTATCCACATGATTTTAAATGGCCACGATCTTGAATATCAAAAATGGTCGACAAATTTCAACTAATAACTGCTTTAATTTTTGTTTTGTTTTTGTTTTGTTTTGTTTTGTTTTGTTTTGTTTTGTTTTTTGTTTTGTTTTGTTTTGTTTTGTTTTGTTTTGTTTTGTTTTGTTTTGTTTTGTTTTGTTTTTTGTTTTTTGTTTTTGTTTTTGTTTTTGTTTTTTTTTTTTGGCTTTCAAAAAAAATCTTATTGATTTAAAATGATATTAAGTGTTACATCATGTAAGTTGTATTTTAGTTCAAAATTTCGGATCTGATATTAATGTGCCCCACCTGAATAAAGTTTGAGAACAAGGCAATTTTGTGCAGTAGCGCCCTCAAAAGTTTAGTCTGTATTGGAAAGTATTCAATTCAATTCAATCTTTTCTAAAAAGTTTAGGCTTAAGGTTACATATCTACTTCAACTGTCAAAGAAATCGCTACGACATATATGCAAATCTGTTCTATTTTGTGGCGGATAAAATTTAATAGGTATAATTAAAGAGGGTATGCGTTATTAAGATTGTATATATACATTATTAAGATTGTATATGTACATTATTAAGATTGTAAATGTACATTAATACGTTAACTGGCAAATACCGTGTGTTCATGGAAAGTGTCATCTTGGTTCTCCAGGGCCTCGTTTTAAAGGCCAAAGAACGGGTTCACTTGCCGTTTTTAATATACATAGAGCCTATATATACATATATATACATACATATGCATATATATATATATATATATATATATATATATATATATATATACAGTGTCAAATTGTACAATACTATAGTAATATCCAACATGTTAACGTAGGCTACTTAATTGTTGAAACATAAAAACCGAAAGGTCCACTGATTAATCTCAGATAAGAAAGTATAATACATACTCCAAGTATTGAAATGCACGCCATCGTGCTGGAATTCAATATTTCGACATTAATTATGTCATCATCAGGAATGAAAAAATTATCCATATTAGCAAGCTTATATGCACTAGTACCAAAAGTGTTTAACCAATCAAAACATTACCTCTAGTAGAATGCTATGTCACCTACTAGAGGTAATGTTTTGATTGGTTAAACACTTTTGGTACTAGTGTATGGAAGCTTGCTAAGATGGATAATTTTTTCATTCCTGATAATGACATAATTAATGTCGAAATATTGAATCCCAACACGATGGCGTGCATTTCAATACTTGGAGTATGTATTATACTTTCTTGTTGAAACATATGTAAGTAGTATCGCCGTTTAGCGACGCGAGGACACTTACAATTATACTGATCTGATGTGCCCACAGAAATAGTATTTTTGAATACAAATAATGATCTGCTGATCACATAATTACGTAATCAATATTTTGATCAAATAAACAATCATTCGGCATATAATTACTAATACTATTATTAATAATAATAATTTTTTTTTTCTTTACTTCGGCATAAAAAGAGCCTATAATAGAATAAACAATCAATAGGAATACAATATAGTAATAATAATAATAATAATACAGTAATAATAATAATAACTAAACTTATTACGGTATGTTTGTACAACAGAACATAGGGCTTTTCTTCATTGCCACAATGAGTAGGGATGTTGAAATTTCAACAAAAAAAAGTTATTAAAAAGTATAAAGTAAAAAACACATGAAAAAATACTAAATACTACTAAAGAAAATTATGAAGTAAAAGAAAAGCAATGAAACCAACTTCACGGCTAACGCGACGTTAGTGAGACTCAAACTATAACTGCAATTGTAGTAGAGAGGTACATGGGACTCATGCATATTGCCCGCTATATGGTGCATTTTTAGCTCATCTACATTGAGTAATATTAAGGTAATTCAGTGATTGAGTGCGAAAACTATTCATGTATATGTTTGGACAAGGTTTTGAAAAGATCTAAGCTTAAAAAGTGAACAAAAGTGCAGGTCAGGACATCCGGTGCAAAAAGAAAAACGTGTGAAAGAAAAGAAAAAAATAGTCAGAACAAAACAATGGCTTTTCAGCTACTGCTAGGAAAACCAATAAAAATAAATAATAATAAAAATAAATAATAATAATAATAATAATAATAATAATAATAATAATAATAATAATAATAATAATAATAATAATAGTAATAATAATAATAATAATAATATAAAAATTAATAATAATGTACAAAGTTTTGAAAAGATCTAAGCTTAAAAAGTGACCAAAAGTGCAGGTCAGGAAAATCTGGTGCAAAAAGATACGAAAAACGTGTGAAAGAAAAGAAAAAAATAGTGAGAACAAAACAATGGCTTTTCAGCTACTGCTTGGAAAACCAATAATAATTAATAATAATAATAATAATAATAATAATAATAATAATAATAATAATAATAATAATACTAATAATAATAATAATAATAATAAATAATAATAATAACAATAATAATAATAATGACAATAATAATAATAATAATGTATAATAATAATAATAATAATAATAATAATAATAATAATAATAATAATAATAATAATATTAATAATAATAATAATAAAATTAATAATAATGGACAAAGTTTTGAAAAGATCTAAGCTTAAAAAGTGACCAAAAGTGCAGGTCAGGAAAATCCGGTGCAAAAAGATAGGAAAAACGTGTGAAAGAAAAGAAAAAAATAGTGAGAACAAAACAATGGCTTTTCAGCTACTGCTGGGAAAAAACCAATAATAATAATAATAATAAATAATAATAATAATAATAATAATAATAATAATAATAATAATAATAATAATAATAATAACAATAATAATAATAATAATAATAATAATAATAATAATAATAATAATAATAATAATAATAATAATAATAAT